TGTTTTATTATACACCCGTTCCACGGCGACGCACCGAACACCGCCAGACGGTTGGTCCTTTTCAGGATCAGCTTCAACCGAACTTAATTCATGCTTTCCAGCATAGTGCGACTGAAATGAGTTAATGTTGGCGAAATCAACACTCGAAGTTGCAGCGGCGTGGCTCTCGTGACACCCTTCTACGACCAATCCTCCCGTGGTTTCATCAGCGATGAAGCCGTTATGATGCGTTTGCTGCTGCGCTTCCAGGTTACCTTCTTCTTTTGAGGTTGAAGTGACAATAGCCCCTGATAAAGTTGTTGTAGTAGGATCTTCCGAAGGGATTAAAGCACCCTCAGAGTTGTAAGATCCATTGCTTGGCTCCGACTCCGTGTTTGGAGCTGTTGATGCTATCGGTCGTCGCAAATCTCGAGGAGTTACCGTTGAAAAACTTCGGGATTTCGGAGCAGAAAATGCAGTTGGCAGTGTTGATTGTGCATCTGCAATCGACTTGGAAGTGGCTGGCCGTGATGACTTTAGTTTCTCACGCTTGATGGAAGCTAGTGTCTCTCTCCGCACGAACTTTTTCATCTCGTCGAGTGCTTGAGCCAGCATCACCTTTTGTGTTGGAGGTGACATTGTATGCTTTCCAACACTCTCACTGAATTCTCGATCGTATGTCCGCTTGCGCTGCTCAAGAGTAAGGTTACTCTGAATCTGCTCCACATGAGACTTTAAGAATCCAATCTCTTGTTCTAGTTTGCGCTTTTCATAGGTAATCATTCTATTCTCTTGCTGAAGCTTGGCCATTTGTAGATTATTTCTTGCCTCCACGTCTGCAAAGGCAGCCAACTTTTGTTCGTGAGCTTCCCTTTCAAAACGCTGTTGATCCAAAAGTATTTGGTGGTGACGCAATTCCTGATACAATTGAACTCGCTCCTCCTCCAATTCCATGAGGTTTGTGCTCTTTACACCACTACGAAGGGACTGCATCGCTTCCTCGTAAGAAGTCAGCAATTGAGACTGTTGGACAAGCTTCTGCTTCAGCCTCTGCGTTATGGCATGGACCTGACGATCACGATCCGCCAATTCCCTTTGACTCACACTTCTATTTGTGCGGAGGGACCTATCTGCACCAACAGCCTTGGCATGCAACAAAGACTCGATTTTCTTGTCTTTCATGGCTACCACCTCTTCCAGGCGACGAGCATGCGCCACCGCTTTAACACGCTTTTGTTGTTCTTGAATAAGTGCAGCTTTCAGCTCGCCCTCGGAGTCAAGTAATCTATAATACTCGTCGGTGG